TGCATCGATCTAGAAGTAGTACTAAATCTAAACAAATATCTAGCAAATATAGCTGCAATGAGGTCGTAAGTTTGAGTCTCGGGTTGGGAATGGGTTTTTAAGTCATGAAATACTCAGTAGCAGTCCGGGGCTGGAATGCCGTTTGTGTGTACACCCCCGTGCTTTGGAGAACAAATTAAGTTATATTCTGTGATGCGGTAACAGACAGACAGACAGACAGAAATTCTAAAAACTATAGATTCGGCCTCTGCGTCGATAATAATGTTTATTTAAATAAGATTTTCCATAAAATATTTAATGTACAGATTCGGTTTAGTTACAATTTTATTATATGTATAAGATGGTAATGAGTCGATACTGTCTAGCATTTTAGGTAATATGTTTTCTTCACTACAGAACAATATTAAAAGTTATTTTTAGTTTTATGTATGTATGTTTTTGCATTTGAAAGTAATTTACTCACTCATTCGATAACAGCGAACTCTTGATCTGGTTTTAACTGCATATTACGAAATTAAAAAAAAATAGTATTTACCTGCCATATGAGCAAATTTCTATTCCTTTTAACCCTCGTATTCCGGCGAAAAGATAACTCGTCACGAACAGCAAGAGATAAGTTGTATGACCGATAGCTTAATTTGTTCTCCGAAGCACGGGGGTGGAGTATTTCATGACTTAAAAAATCATTCCCAACCCGAGACTCAAACTTACGACCTCACTGCAGCTATATTTGCTAGATATTTGTTTAGATTTAGTACTATTACTAGATCGATGCAGGCTTTTCTATATTCCACGTTCGTTACAAAATTTCATTGGCAGAGTGAGGGATATAAAGAAATATAACAACATTTCCAACCAAATAGTTTACATAATAATAATAATAGACTGTTAAGGTTAATTCACAACGATCATATAAGAGTAGTCTAGACAGTAATAATCTGACAGCAACCACTCGATCAGAGAAATTTATTTGGAAGCTCTATCGAACACATTTCCTTTCACAATCTACTTTAAGCTGAACGTGTATGGAGCACAAAGAAAAGCATTCTGCTACTGTAATGTATCTCCCTTATCACTTACTGATAATAGTGACCAGGCCTCATACAATGCCAATTCAATCTGTTATAATAACCAGAAATATATATTGTAAAAAGAACTCTAGGTGCTCTACAAAGAGTTTAAATCAGATTGTTTGAAAATTTTAGCATATTGGTTTTGCTTGAACTAAAGGTCAAAGAACACAGCTGATTAGTTGCTACAACGGTTGAGAATACTTAGAATAAAGTATAACGTTTTGATATCTAATAGATTTTTTAATAATAATTGATGATATTGCATAGTGGTATTTTGCGCATTTTTTGTAGCATGTCTTTAGAAGGTTAAGTTCAAACTAGTACTATAAAGAAAAATAATACTTTCTTAGATTTACGCGAATATTGGCATTTTAAATAGAACTCCCTTTTCGGATTTTTTCGTGGATTTATTTTGATTTTTGGTTCGTTCGTTCGTTTCGAATGCTACAACAATCATGGTCACGATAGAGACTAAGAGAGAGAGCTTTGTATGGGTTGGCACCGACTTCGAAAATATTTGATTAGGTATGTATAGTAAATGAAAACTACCAATCAGTTATTTTTTACTTTTTAGTGCTTTTGTTTGAAGTCGGTTTTTATTTTTTTGTTAAAAAGTTTTTATTTTTCCCTTTTTAGTGTAGACAGTAGTAGCAAAGTAAGAATTCTAACGTGTTAGGCTTGTCAAATCAAACAAAATAAGCCCAAACTCAAAGTATCTACTATTAGCCGTTGAAGAGTTCCACCTATCCACCTTCTGGCCTTACCATCAGATCAGGTCAACAATACCGAACCACTGTACTATCAACGGAAATAGAAACACTTGCAAAGTTTCAAGTCAATATGACAATTAGAAGTAGGTTAAATTCATCATTAGCTATTTTTCCACCCTTAGGGGTGGTTTTTTTTTTTTGAAATTTAAATAGGACCAATCTGGAAGTATACACCTTCAAACAACACAAAAATTATCCAAATCGGTTAATAAATGACGGAGTTCTGAGGTAGCAAAGATAAAAAAAATACAGTCGAATTGAGAACCTCGTCCTTTTTGAAGTCGGTTGAAAAATCCGAATAGATAGTTTTATTTAAAATAAGAAAAATTTAGTACTTTACCAGTTATTTTTAAAAGTCGTAAGTTATGATAGGTAGTTTAGGTTAAGTATCAAGTTAATATTTTATTTTGATTATTTTTTATTAGTTACCCACCCTCGTGGGCTGTGTTTTACCCTTATTCCTCGGAGAGCATTAAGCCACGGTACAGCTCCTAATCTCTTACCATAGTTTGAGAGTGTAAAAAATACTCTACTACCTGCCCATTTCCCAAGTTACTTGGGGTTGGCGCTGAGATTGTAAAAAATAGAGTTTTAATTTATGTCTGCACGCATACTTGTCCACTACATATCGTCCACTTCATATCGTATATCTTCCGCGCTCTTGTGTCTCGGTAAGATTAATACGATTGGCCGACGTGAACGAAGTCCGACAAGTGGACTTCATAATATTCAGTTCAATAAAAATAAAATTATAATATTTTATTTTTGCCATATGTTGATTTTTTTTAATGTTTGGTTCACAGATTAAAAGTCTAAACCTGTGGGTTGGTTTAATATCTTGCAAATAATCATATTGTGTAGTATCTTCTTGTATGGTAATTTATTTACTAACAAACTTCATTTATGAATAAGAAATGATATAAAAACTACAAAAAAAGATAAAGTAATAATAAAATAATATGTAATTAAGGAAAAAATAATAAAACGTCTAAAATGGTATATTCCGGAACTAGGTCAAAATTCAAAAAGCAAGTTCCTTTAAGCTTTCATAAACTACATCTTATCACTTTTGTACAGTCACCGGACGAAAAAAATATATATTCGCCTCCAAAAGGACGCGTTATCTCAGCCCTGACCCTGCGAGTTATCACAAAAAGTTCACTAGAGAGTTAAAATTTTTTCATCCTGCTCAAGCGATAACAATTTTAAATCTTCTGTACAAGTAAAAGCGAAAGATCACTCCACTTACTGACTAAACGCAAATCCTCAAAAACTATTTGACCTATAAAGTTTGGGCAGGTAAATAGTTTATAAGTTCGTAAAAATTTACGGTTCCCGTGGGATAGATTTGTTTAAGTTAATAAGCAATAAATATATGTATATTTGTGTAGAGAATTCTATTAATTGCTAATACTGTTCGTAATACGTAGATAGCCAGACATAATATGTCAAACTGCCTCAGATGTCTTAATTTATTGAGTATTCTCATTCGTTAGTTTAACAAAGCATGTTTCTAAAACAATAATTTAATAGATTAATGTTATTTCTATACGAAAATTAGTATTCTGTGGAAACCCAAAATTCTACACAACAAACTATTTCGACCAGAACTTTAACGAAACTTTATACTGAAGTCTAAACCGAACTTTGGAAGTTTGCACTTTACGTAACGGTTGCTAATCATCTCATCAAAGAGAAATAAATGTTTTAAACAAACACCGATTGAGTATGGAAAGCGCTTTAAATTCGGGTAAATGTTTTGCTATTACAGAAATTATGAGTAAAGAGTAAATGCGATAAAGATATAAAGCGACCAGACGTCGTATATTTCATTTTTAACCGACTTCAAAAACCGACTTCAAAAAAGCACTAAAAAGTAAAAAATAAATGATTGATAGTTTTCATTTACTATACATACCTAGTCAAATATTTTCAAAGTCGGTGTGCTTTGCTTTGTATCGGCTGGCACCGACTTCGAAAATAATTGATTAGGTATGTATAGTAAATGAAAACTACCAATCATTTATTTTTATCATTATTAGCTATTTTTCCACCCTTAGGGGTGGTATTTTTTTTTAATTTAAATGAGACCAATCTGGAAGTATACACTTTCAAACAAAACAAACATTGTCCAAATCGGTTAATAAATGACGGAGTTCTGAGGTAACAAACATAAAAAAAAACATACAGCCGAATTGAGAACCTCCTCCTTTTTGAGGAAGTCGGTTGAAAAAGATTTAATATCTTATGTCAATTTCATGTGGGCTGATGTACCCATCATCAGATAAATGAATGTGATATTATGCACACAAATTGAAAATTACAGTTGTATATAAGTAAAATAATTCAATTTTTACAGTATTATATTCGGTCAGGTTATGATTTATATTTTAACAGATAAAATTAATTATATCTGAAGCTTGAATACTGAGCCTTGATGTAACAGTAAAAATAATATTTCAACTGTTATCTTAATAACATTTAAAAATAATTCTATTTTTTTAAATATAGAGTCTTATACTATTAATGAACTGCCTCGGTAGTCTAGAGGCTAGGATTGGCTGCCGATTCGTAGGTCCTGGGTTCGAGTCCCAGATCGGGCCAAGTTTAATTATTGAGTTTTCTTTTAAGATATTCTCCGTAGTAGGCCGGAGTTGGCGGTGTTTCAGCCCCGTGCCTCGGAGAGCATGTAAAGCCGTCAATTCTGCGCTGAACTCTCACCGGGCGTGTCGAAATATCATCCCATCGGCCTTTCAAAGTAAAAGGAATAGAGAGTGCACGTTGTGTCTGCGCGTACACTTGTGCACTATAATATCTCCTGCGCAGTTGGCTAGTCTCTTATAACTATTACACTCCTACTAAGAAATAATATAGACAGAATATCATAGACCTAATCATGAAGCCATACAATAATGTATTAAAATAGTATAAAAATAACCATGTTTATAGAAAAATTGGATATAGTATATAAACGCACTACTATTTTTGACTTTGACATTTATTTTGGCGGACTCCGTCTGTATAATTCTTTAGTCTGAGCGATTACACTAAGGTCCAAATGAAAAAATAATAACATTCGAATATTTTGTTTCAGGTAGTATAAGCTTTCTATGTAAAAGCATGTCATAGTGTCGTGAGAAAGTGAAATATAATCAAAATGACATTGTGGTATAATCCATCCAGTGTGGCTGTGTGGGCGATAATGAATATCTTAATATGCCTAACGTCTGAAGCACTCTCGGAGGAGAGAGAAGAGCCCCACAAGTATACGATAGAGGAACTTATTTCTACGCATTTTGAAAATAAGCAATCAAATGATCTTGGAATGGATCCTTGTAAAGCTGGTAAGTCGTTTTTTTTTCATTGAACAACTAAAATATCTACATATTTTCGAAATACGCAATATTCGTTTGTAAGCATATCACTTGAGAGCGGCTGTTATGTTGGTAATTTTACGATTTTTTTTTCTGTCGTTAAAGGAGGAAAATTTGGAAAAACTGGAAAATTTTTATAAATAAAATTCTTTTTTATAAGAAATATTTGTATTATCTCACAGATCTCAAACTCTATTTAATTTTAGTCATGACAAAGTATCTTGGGTTAGCTTGTATTATATTTAAAATATTTTATACGCATGGGAATCAAACCCGTAACATAATCAGAGACATATTAAAGCCTACAATGCCTTAGAACCATAATAAAGCAATATTTAAAATAAACATAAAATACGTTGATATAATTCTAAGCACATTGTACACATTAAAATTTTATTGCGACCGTGGAAATTACAATTTTCGTCTTTACATCGTCAAAATACACTCATATTTTTCTATAGAAAATATTCTAATATTTACGAAAATTATGATATTTGCGTTTCCTTAAATTACAATCTTATCGTTTCGCTGCCGCGAATTTCAATGGAAGCAGTCGGGATAGGTTTTATCACGAGTTGATTTCAATTTTAGAGCTCTTTAACGCCGCTGTGGAATTTAATATATAGCCGACTTTTTCAGATATTATTTTTTATTACAATAATTTTTAATATAGATTTATTTTTCAGTTAAAATGAAATTAGAAAAACGATTTTGTTACATTAATGAGATACGCAGTTTATTTTGTATAATATTTTTGTGTCGGTGTTTTTTATCTAGGGGAGGTAAAGGTAAAAGGTAGGATTGACGACACGTTTGGCTCAGTTTGTAGGTACCCTACTTACTGCGGGTTCGAGTCCCGCTTGGGGCATTCATTTGTGTGATGAGCACGAATGTTTGTACTCCAGTCATGGGTGTTTATATTTATGTATAATATACTAACGATTCGCCCTCGTTTCGCTCGGGTTCGTCCCTAGGTACGTTTTAAATTAAAATGGATCTAGTATGTTATCGTTAAGAGATAGACATGTGTCAGTATAGAGAGTGTACTAGCGACTCACCCACGCTCCGCTCGGGTTCGTAGATATGTATTACAGTTAGTATAGATTTCTCAGAGATGAGATATTTTCTCGCAGTAAAAAGTATCCTATAGGTTGACCCGGATAACCAGCTATCATCACACAAAATTTTATCAAAATCTGTCCAGTGGGTTTTTCGTGATGCGTTCCCAGACAAACAGATAGACAGACAGACAAAAATAACCAAAGATTCGGCCTCTGTATCGATAATAATGACATGTACAGATATTTAAAGTACAGATTCGACTCAGAATTCTATTATGTGTATAGATATTATATATTATATACACGATAGATCTTTTTAAATGTTCGCTCTTTTTTATAGCAACTTTTATCGCAAACGTTTTCTTAATTACTTATTATATGTATAAAAAAATATGAGGTTATTTAACGATTTTTATATCATATTATAACCCAATATAAATAATCCTGTCCAAATAAAATTTGATTATTTCTACAGCATCTCCATAGTTTCCGCAATGATTGACGTCACAAGTCATCAAACTTTATCACCGGCAAACGTTCGCTCGTAAATTGAAAACTGGCACTCCATAAGCTTTTAAAGTCAATAACGCCGCCCTCATCAATCCGCCCGTAAACCGGACAAAACCGGACAATGCTCTTTCATATTCCAGACCAACCGTAAAAAGGCCGGCGCCTTTGTTTTGACTACCGAATGGAAATTGTTCCTTTCAACATTTAATATCATACTTTAATATATTTCAAAGATGACGGAAAACTATTCATTGATTCTCTTTATAGTAAATTTAAAGCGTGTTGTTTAATTTAATAATATTTAAATTAAACTACTAATTTAAATGTGAATGTTGTTTAAAAGTGAAGTGAAGAAAAGTGAAATGTGAGTGAAGATGTGAATTAAAAGTGAAAAGTGAAGTGTGTTACTCATTCATCTTAACAGCTGGGAGGATTTGGGTAAAAAACGTGGGTTCGATGCTTGTAACTTGTGTAACTTAGTATTACAAGGAAGGAATTTTAAATATTCAATATTTTTTAACAAGGCATAAAAATGAAATATAACCATACCATTCATCCATCTTGGTGCACAAATAAAGGCATATAGATTAAAATTAATCTTGACACGTTGACGAATGTTTTTAATCCATCTATTTGTCCATTTGCCTTAGTTCGTATAATTATTGTTAGACGTTGTTAAAATATATTATTATAAAATTCTCAGCTTAAGTCAGAAATCTATCTCACGAAAAAAACTCGGTACGCAAAGTGATTTCGAGAAACGCTTTGAATAAAACGCCTCTTCTATAATACTTCATAATTGCTCTGTAAATTGTGGAAAATAAATTATATTACCTTTTACGGACGTGGATAAGTGTTGTTTTTATTCGTTTAATCATACTCTTATTATAAATTAGAAAGAAGTTTGTACGTGTGTGCATGTGTCTGTGTGTATGCGTATGTGTGTGCGTGCGTGTGTGTGCATAAATGTGCGTATGTGTGTTTGTGTCTGTGTACGTGCTTTTGTGAACGTGCCTGCGTGTGCGTGTTTATTGGAAAGTACACAGATAGACCATGACCCGGGGGCAAGGTTACTGTTAGTAATAAAATTTATTTTTTGTATAATCTTTAAAAGATTATTTTTTTAAATAATATTATAAATACAAAATATACTGACAAATTTTATAAAATTTAGAATTATATTAATTTTTAATAAGTACCTATAGTCAATGTATTTAGGTGACAGACCCATTTAACTCTCAAATCAGGGAGAAAAAAGCTTTGCGAATCATAAGAGTGTGTATGAATAATGACTACGGAAAAAGCGAAACACTCGATTCTCTGTTTACTCTGAAATGTGCTAACAGTGAAAATATGTGGGTGTTTATTGTGTTTTATCCACATTATTATAAAGAGGTATGCTTGTATCTTTTGATCTACTTTACGTTAAAGAAATTATTGTATTTATATATAGCTTTAGTTATAATATTAATATTTTATTTGAATATCATTCTTATCTAGATATATTTTAAATAAAACTAATCAAACGGGAGACTCTCCTGTGACCATATTTGCTGTAATTTAAAATGTCAAATATACATATAAATCTAAAAAAAAAGTATTATAGATATATGTGTTTTAATTTAGAAATTACATGTTATGAAAGAATATTATAATGTGTTATAAAAATCGACAAACTCTTTGCGAACAAACTCAAGTATGAACGGTAAATCGTTAGGCATTAAACCATTTAAGGCATTCAATTTGAGCATATTATAGCTCTCCAAACCGAAACAAACAAGGTTTTTAACTAGGAAAATTAAATAATATGTGTTTTTAAAAGGTCTAAACGCTACACGCACTTGCTCTCACCATATAACATTTAAGAATTCATTTTTACGACATTTACAGGCTGAATGTAAGTAGGGCGACGGCTTTTATAGATAATAGATAGGACATGCCACACGCCGTTAACACCTGCAGCTTTCTCAGAGCTTTGAATTAATAATACTAAAGTTTTCGTATTTTTTTCATATATTTTCAAACTTTCAGCACATTATCTTCTAGAATGCTTTTGTAAATAGTAAAGTTTAGATATTTTGGGAATTTTTGGCTTTGTGTCGTTACCTAGTTACCAACGAGATTAAGAAATTAAGTTTATTAGTCATTTATCTACTCGATCTCAAATATACTAGACGAAAAAAAATATTACTTTAATATTTACTCAAAAGTTTCGAACACACAGTAAGCTTTTATATAGATAATAATAATCATTTAACAGTATTCAGTTTGCAATATTCAGTTATTTTAGTGAATAATTTTTAAATAAAACTATATTTTCGGATTATTTCGCGGATTTATTTCGATTTTTGTTTTGCGACGTTCTAAGAAAGTATATATATATGAATAATTTTAAAACATAAATTCAGTTAAATTATTAATATAACGCAAAACAAAATGAAAAATCACTGCCATACATAAAAAAATACAATAAAATCTATACATATAACAAAATTGTAACTAAGTCGAATCTGTACATTAAATATTTTTTTGGAAAATCTAATTGAAATAGACATTATTATCGATACAGAGTCCGAATCTATAGTTTTTAGAATTTTTGTCTGTCTGTCTGTCTGTCTGTCTGTTACTGCATCACGAGAAAACCACTGAACAGATTTTGATGAAAATTGGTATGATGGTAGCTGATTATCCTGATCAATATATAGGATACTTTTTACCGCGGGAAAATATCTCATTTCTGAGAAAAAATACAAAAACTGCATTGTAAGATAATATGTAAAACCTAAGAATTTGGTTTTTGGTCATCTGAACGGGGGCGTAGCCGCGGGCAATGCTAGTTCTAAATGTTATTTTCTTTACATTATTGGCATATTTTTTACGTAACGTCATTAACATTCATTTAAGGAATAGTACCTATACACAAACCACTTTTATTGATTCCACATTCACTGAATTTCTATTAAGTTAATTTTAATTATTCAATTTTTTCACACTAAGTTTTACAGCAATGTAAGCATTTTTAAACTTTCCGTGTCAAAATATCGAAAACTCATAAAAGTAAGTGGAAAATATAGTAAATATTCCATTTTACATCATAAAAATAATGTAAACATAACTTACTGTGATCTGCTAAATGAGATAATGTATGTTTGATAGCGGTTCTTAATTATCAACTAGATCAAGGCAGGTATTATTTCTAGTACACTCCTGTTATATTTAGGTATGGGCAGAAACCGTTGCCTCAACGCCGTAGCAGGTTCAACCCGACATTGTACTTAACTGTCGAAACACTATAGAATTACTGTGTGTTTGTTACTCCTTTATGCTGAAAAGGCAGGACGATAGAAATTTGATAGACTATGATCTTTTTATGACAATGTTGGAAAATGCATTTATGCA